GGAAAAAAGGGACACTTCATATAAATAAGGGATTTTCTTTTGACGCAGTTATTGTTGCATAATTGATCAAAATTCAAGAATATTCGACATTCTTACGTAATTAATCGTTCTGAAGATGTGATGTGGAGTGAAATGGTATATAATTGTTAAAAAGTATAAGGACAATTTCGAAAATTTTCTTACGTTAACCAATTCAAGCGCTGAGTAAGAAAGAATCTTTTCAGTTGTAACTGGTGTTTCATGTAAAAAGCGGAACAAATTATCTGATGAAATGTTAAATAGCACATGAATGTGCTTCAATTTTAAAGTCACCAAAAAATTCTTTTAGGCCCTTAGTGAGTGAGCAAAAAAATGAGAGGGAAAAAATGAATGAGTGAAAAAAATGCAGAAAAAGGGGTTTTTTCTTAACAGCGGTCGGCGCTCGACAGGCAATGGCAAACCTCCGAGTGTATTCCTGCCATGAAAAACAGCTTCTCATAAAAATACACTCGCCATTCGGAGTCGGCGTAAAACTGTAGGTCCCTCCCCTTTGTGCGACATCAAGGGGACCGCCACAAATTGGAGGAAAAGCACATATGTGTAAGCGCCAAACTATTATTATTATTTTATATGAATTTTACTTCTTTACTACTGCAACATGTATATGTTTAAATTCGTTGGGAATTTTGTGGGATAAATTTTCAAGATGTGGGTAATTGAGGGATTTTTTCCCCATTTCTATGGGATATTTAACAGAGAATGTCTGGCATCACTGCTCACAATGTGCTTCCCGTTGATTTTTTTTTTTAATTTTTTGTCGCCAGTCTTTTGTGTTTTTGTATTTAACAATTTCTATTGATAAAATTGGCGTTGATTTAACTTTTTTTGCGAACAATCATAGTGCGTCATTACATACCTGTCAATTTTTTCTTTATATGTATTTTAATAATCATTTAAAATATTTAGGCAATCAAAAGCTCCTCGGGATAAAATTAGTTTTATCGATATCTCGATATACATTTATACGTTTGTAAGTATATAAAAAGTATGCAAAGAAATTTATAATATGAAGATAACTACGAAAAATAAATCGGGAACGAAAAGTTCAACAAAAACCTACCAAAATGGGAAAAAATTTACATTTTTACCAACCCAAATTTTTTCTACCCATTTTTACCAAAGTGGCAACCCTGCCGACACACAACGACTTTTTTTAGCCCTTTTTTAAAATACATTTTTACCATTAAAAATGATTTGCGTCAACACTGCTTAGCACACCAGATATTACCTTAAGTTCCTTAAACCCCTTATTTTTTTGTATAATGGTTTCCAATTTTTCCTTGATTTTTTGCTCAAGTTCACCGTGCACATTTTGAATAGTAACAAAAGCAGTCTTCACAAGATGCACTTGTACAGCCAATGATTCAACAAATTCTAAAAATATTTTTGCCCATTCGATTTTAAATTGTCAACATCACAGAAGCGAGCTCTTACATCTTCGGCCACTCGGTTGGTGCATTGCGTGCCAAACAAGTTACGTGCTGTAACTTTGGTTAAAATACCTTCAGCACCTTTGCTGAATTTACCATATCGAGACCTAACCGCCAAAAAAACGTAAGCGACATATTTTTCAAAAATTTTCTTTGTGTCCAATATCAAGGCGCATGCCAGAAATCGGAGGAGAAGCTCGGCCAAACACTAACATATGTGTAAGCGCCAATCTATTATTATTTTCATTAATTTTAAATTGGTTGAAAAGACATTTGCAAAAGAAACATACTGACTTTGGAGTGCTTTAAGCGTTAGTTAATGCAGAGTCGGACAATCGACTTGCTGGTCGCACACAATTGAAACAACATTTGAAAGCACATTTACATGGCTGGCTGTAGCTGAGCGTACAGAGATGCCTGTTATTACTGGTTAGCTTTTTGGAGGTCCGGCTTCGAATAGAGACAACATGTCAAGATGATAATAAAAATTGTTTTTATGTCTTGAAAATATGGAAAAGCATCTGTGAAATTCAGAACGAAAGCGTATTCAAACCAAACGTACTGAGCATTGTACTACGATTATTTTTATTAGGAAAAATGGACAAGCAACAAAATCCAAGCGGAAGAAGTTATAGCTGCCTAACAGCGAGTGCTTAACAGCGTTTTAATCTATTAGTAAAAGTTTAAAAGGGGCGTATTACTTTTACAAAAAAAAAGTAATTTTGCTGCCTTTTCTCCCATGAGGCGATTTCGTAGAGGCTCGTATATAAGGCACGCTGCACGAAACAATTGCTCACTTGGAACGCTTGCTGGTGTTGCGCTTAAATAGGGCCAGATCTGTCAATTTGTCGTATTTTAGTCCAGCTTTCCTCCAAACGAGAGGATTTTCAACGAGATGAGCTCGTTTTTCTTTCCTTCAATTAAGCTTTTCCACATTTCTTAATGTCTCCAGATCCTACATCCAAGCCTTCGCTCTCGCTCGAAGAATCTAAAATTATTTCTAGGTTGCCTAAAAGACTTTCAGCAGTACTTGTTGAAGTAAACATCGTTATCGACGCTACCGACTCCCTGTTGTATGCATGGAGTCCAAGACGTCGATAACGATGTTTAACCGCAGATTAGTGTTAACCAGACATTGAGTAACCGGCCCTTAACCGTTTAGCGCCTGAAGCTAAAAGCCGGTTATTCTTCGCGCCCTCGTTAGACAGAAATAGAGCCATTTCAATAATATTAGAGTGGACTCCCTGCTCATGTACACATTCGCATTCGCAAAACATTCGTAACATTTGTTGAGAATGCGAATGTCGAATGCGAATGTGCAAAATGATGCGAACCATTCACATAACGGATGCGAATGCAAGTATTCGCAACATCCCTGTTACATATGTACTAGAGGCACGATTGAGAGAATACAAAGGTTGCGCCGATCTCGGACCGCTATTCCTCTCTTAACGAATTTGACAGAATCGTGGTTTGCCTGACGTCACACTTGTGCAACTTGTTTACGTTTTCCTTGCAACATTTTTTCTTCTTCTTCCATTCTTGCTCACGTTTTGGTATTTCTCTCTCGCAATTGCACCAGTGTGACGTCACACAAAAGTTATTCTCAAAAATCCTCTCTGATCGGCGCAATCTTGTATTCTATCATTCTTGTACTAGAGGTCTGCATCGGAAGATATTTGGCTCCACATTGAAGTTTTCTAGCGAATACGCTTCCTTCTCTTCCTCTCAATGAGAGCGCGGATAGTGAACGGATAGCGAACGGATAGTGAAGAGAAGTATAGCCGCTAAAGGCTGATTCACATACAACTTTCTTCGCTTTGCTTGATAGTTCTTTGCTTTCACATATAAGATCGATGTAGGCATATGCATGAGTATGCTCACATAAAAAACGTTTGAAGCAAAGCAAAGCAAAACGAAGCAAAATATTGGGTAACTCTCAACTTTTGCCCGCTTCGGCAATCAGCTGTCTACATGTATCTTTTCTCGTGGGCTTGCATTTGCATTTAATGAAAAAAATTGGGTTAATAGGAATTTTTATTGCTATTATTAATGCATATTATTATATTGTTATCTATTTTATCACAATTTTGAAGGTCAGCTCTACCGCTTTCGGAAAAAAATGCAAATTTTTACATAGGGTTGCCATCTGTCTGAAAATAACGTGAATAAAATATTTAAGTGGCGTAAAATTTTGCAACGCTTTTATCGAACGAAAGACATTTCAGTGCACTTTTATCGAGAGGTAATATTTTTAATAGGGTTGCCAATACATTACAGAGATTTTCGGCATTGGGACTTATCGATATAATAATCGATATTTTTATCTTGGTTATTATCGTAATTTTTATCGAATTCACCCTGTACCTCTAATAAAGTCCTTACTTCTAAAAATAAAACCAAGGTCCCTAATTTGACATCTAATTTTTTAAATTCGAAAGAACTGTATAGATCTGATCTCCTTCACAAAAAACAGCTTCACGTATTCGAACACCCATATTTTAATACATAAATTTGTATGTATTTCATTTACCTAACTCCCTTAATTTTAGTTGAATTTCACTCCTACATATTTATTAGAAATGGAGCCTTTTCAAACCAATTTATAGTAATACCCATAAATAAATAATGTTAATTAAAATTTTTAACAGGTGGCAACACTTTAAAAAAAAATAAACCTCTCTCATCTACAGGCCAAGCGCTTTAATATCACACCCCATTTTTTTAAATCGAACGAATGCAAACCTGATCACATTAAAAAAATGTCTTCGCGTGTTATAAGTAGAATCCAAACCCATAAAGAGAACATAAAACTTCACGTGCAGTTTGACATTCCTATGAGAAGTTTCCAAATACTCACGTTCAGGTGGCTTGATACTTAAGTATGTGAGCATAGCGGAACACGTATTTGGTGAAGGAGAGCGCCGTCGAGTAACATCATTCAGGAACGCTCGTTTGGGATGTTCTCTACATTTTAACCGACTTCCAAAAAAGGAGGAGGTTATCAGTTCGTCGGAATATTTTTTATTTTTTATGTATGTTACCGCATAACTTTGGACCACGTCAACCGATTTCGATAATTCTTTTTGCATCGGAAAGGTAGTGTCTCAGAGGTGGTCCCATACCAATCTGGTTAAGATCCGATCAGTGGATCATGGGATATATATATATATATATATATATTTTTTTATATGAGAGTTGAAGTCGGTTTTTTTTTGCTAAAAATTATTTGTGGCTCATTTTTTTTTTGGTACCGCAAAAATGTGTTCCTATTATTCGATTAAATGTGAGAAGTGCAGTTTGGCTGGGAACTTTGCAGCCCTCTTATATGTACATATATCGGCGTTCCCAATGTAAAAGTCACATTTTGCATTTTTCGCGACTGCGTTTTTTGAGATTTTTTTTATGAAAAAAGGAGCCTTGACGTGCTTTCTCTCTCAAAATTTCAAATTTGTCAATTACATTGATGATGAAGATGCGAGTATCCAAGTAGTGTGTATGTAACTCAAACGCGAATTCGAAAATACTGAATTCATTTAGATAATAAATAAAAATTTATTTAAAAAAAACTACATAAATATTTTTAGATATTGCATACCTCTACGTACAAGTCTTTTAATATGTGCACCTATCCACAGGAATTGTTATTTTTGCAAAAATACTTATGTCCATATATCTACATATTTCCTTAAATGTATACGAAAGCAATATTAAATACAAGCTTATTTGCACAAAAACATACATACATATGTACATAAATATATTGCCAATCTTTAAAAGGATCAAAATCAATAATAGTTTTCCTGTCTGTTTGGTTCGATTGTAACTCTGGCATAGGGACTGCCAGACCCCACCTTCCTACGTAGCGTTACTCCTCCCCTGTTCGGGCGTAGGCACATAACTATTGCGTAAATACCAGCGGCACACAGCAGTATGAGAGCGAAAATAAAGAGCCCAGCTACCCAGTGTGGCCAATGGGCACAACTAAAGTCGGAATTCTCGACATTGATCATGCTTTCACCCCGTAATCGCGATGGATTGAAGCACCGGCCTTTCGTGTCCAATTTAATTTCTTTGATCCACACTAATTCGCAATCGCACACCAGCGGCATACCATTGAGATCGAGTTCTGCAAGTTTCGTGAAAAGTGGTGCCAAAGTAGCGTTAAGTGAGCCCACAGAAGTGCCACGAAAAATTAAAGTGCGTAGCTCTGGAAAACGGCTAGCTTCTGCACCGAAAGCATGTCCACTAAATTTATTCAAGCGACGACTGTTCTGGAAGCTAATCTTTTTTAACCCGGTCAGCGGATAAAATGCATTTTCTTCGACCGACTGTAGACGCGGCATATCTTCCACGTACAGCTCACTTATCGTGGCAGACAGGTTGGCGGTGATGGCAGGTGAAAAAGTCTGAAACAAATTTTCACTGATATCAAGTTTTGCCAAAGTACTTGGCAGATTCGATGGAATTTTTTCGAGCTTGTTATGGCGCAGGTCTAATTCGACAAGTGGAGCTTTCTCGGGCAAGACCAGATCTGTCAAGCTGCATGCTTGCAGGCGTAACACCCTGATTTTAAAGTTCACACCGAAAGTACGATAAAAGTCTTGTTCTTGTATGGCCTCGGTCTGATTGAGATGTCGGTTCCACGACAGATTTAACGTCTCCAGCACAAGTAAAGACCGAAATAGTTGTAGTCCCAAAGTATGTAAGTTGTTGTGCGACAAATCAAGAACTTGTAAATGCACCAGCTCGTCAAAGGCGTTCAATTCAATTGACTGTATGCTATTCCAGCTTAAGTAGAGTTTGCGAAGGTTCGCGGCCTTGACAAACTTTTTGTTGCTGATAGTGCTGATGTTGTTGTGCATAGCATTTAGAATGCGCAGGCTGTCGCTGGCCAACGTCGGTACCAAATCCATTGCATTCCAAGACAAGTCCAGTAGGTTTACATAGAGCGGCAGCACCTCAGAGAAGTCGGCGTTCTTCAAATTCTTGTAGCTGCAATCGATGTTTATGGCGCGAATACCCCATGGAGGAGCATTATCGTTGCTGCACTCGCACGATTTTCGAGTGTTTTTGTGCTGTTCCGGATAGCAAAAGCGTTCTATTTCATTTTCATCGATCACTTCTGCTTTGGGGCACAGTAATAAGATTGATACCGATATCGTAAAACATACCTGCCGACAAATCATTGCTAGTATCTTGAAACGGGTAGCGATCTATGTTATGACTAATTTAGACTGGAGTAACCAAATGACAGCCACCAAATTTTTCGGTATTTCATTTTCCAGTGTTTCCAGGTATCAAAAGATAAGATTAGTTTGTTTTGTTAAATATTTCTGAGTTTTATCAACTGCTTGAAAAAAAATATATGTATTGTAAAAAGTATGGTGGTGCAAGCTCTCCTTTCCAGTGCGATAAGATATGGTGTGCATTTTTTGTGTTCGCTTTCGTTGGCGATAGCTCTTTGAAAATAAATTTGATCTTATCGATAATGAATCGGTTTTATTAATCATAATGCAAAATAACTTTGTTGACTAGCACATGTGTATGTACTTATGTACATCGTACATACATACACATATTAATGTACATACATCCATATGTAACTTTCTAGGTAAATAGCATTGCTTCTATGTAGATCAAACAATTAAAAATAACGACCAATTTGTATTTATTAAAAAAGCAAAGGTAGTGAATTCTCAAAAACTTGAATAGTTGAACTGTTTCTCATTTCACTTATATAAATTCATGGCAAAAATTAGCTTTTCACTTATAATTGAGTATCAGGTGCACCCTATAGAACAAGGCCGATTTAAATCGGATCAGTATGCAACGGAAAGTGCCTCTGAAGAAACGCCAATGCTGGCTTACTTCTTCATAAATCTCTTGGTTTACTCTAAAAACGTAAAAATAATAATATAAAATATCTGTATGTACTCAGAAAAGGCGATGAAAATAAGTGTTTGGCGCTCAGATTAGTGTTTCTTCCACACTCTCCCCTAATTTTTGCTGTGCGTCTTGATGGTAAATGATTTTCATGAAAGGTTTTTTCGGTGCAAGCACAGGGCTGCCAACTTGGCTAAAACCGTGCCATTTTTGGCCCTATATTACACAAAACGGCACTTAATTTTTCCATTTGGCACAAAGTGTCAAAATGGCACTTTTCAAGAATAGTAATATTTGAATGAATTTTTGTGAAATCCTTTGCGTGTACTTCTTTTACTCAGCTAAAATTTTCTAATTTCTAACGATTATACAACTGGTTTATCTTATTTTGGCATTGCACTTTTATTTTAGAAATGTGCTTCATATTTTATTGTTAAATTGGCACTTTTATTTTTCTATTTGGCACTTTTTTATCCCCAATATGGCACCTCATAGCTAAAGATAGTTGGCTGCCCTGTGCAAGCATACATTCTTAATTATATGATTTTCTAATAGACAAGTTGAAATAGCAACAAAAATGGTAACAGCTTACAAGGGAAGACATATTCAATGTCCCATAGAAAGCATAACCGTAAACATTTTGAATGGTATATGGGTATTTCCATACGTCGCATACGTGACAGTCGTACGTATCAATGTGATACACACAAGGAATACAATTTGTTTTCTTTAACTTTTTTGGGCCATTGTATAGCACATAATTAGCTCTATATTTAACCGAATAATGAAAACAATCGAACTGCTTGGTCCTGAAATATAAGCATTTAAAGAGAGTGTCGTTACGTGACAAAAAATGGAAGTAGATTTTTTCTTTTCTTACAAAACCGCAAAACTGCGAATTGTGGATGGGTATTTTCATGAAACTTATTTTAATATGATTTGGAGCAATTCTAGTTGTTTTTAGAGTTTTTTGAATTAATGCAACTTGTTTCAATTTTCTTTTACAACCCCAAGTGTGAAACGTCACGTGACGTAGCGTCCAGTGTTGCCACAAATATTTTTAATTTTTTACCAAACCTCTAAAAAAAAAATTACCAAACTCAGAAAAAAATTACCAAATTTGTATGAGCATAATATTCTAAACAAATTGGAAATTATTTTTCGACGTATGTAGATAATACACCACGTCTGGGATTGTGGCCAGCTTAGATCTATTTATATTTTTCGACCGAAAAATGAGTTCTTCCCATTCTTTTATGACAAACTCATAAAAATGCATGATGTCGCTGCCGCGTTCAAAAAATTCATATCACCATCGACTGAGCGTTTAGATAACGAAGACGAACAATTTACAGCTGTGGTTGTCCTTTTCAATGTGTTCCGACTATAACAATTCACAAATATTTTTAATGGCCGGTTGTTCAATGTATTTAACCGGAGCTTCTACCTCCGATTTGTACTAATCAGACATTGAACAATCGGCCCTAAAACATAAAAGAAAAAAATCGCTCATAGATTTATAAACATTTAAAAGGTGTTTAATAGTTCATTTCTACTGCAGTTTATGCCTATTGGAAAAAAGCAGTTTAAAACTCGAAGGAGGTAGTTGCTCATATTAGGTACAAGTAAATGAAAGGAAAGTAACAAAAACGAATAAATAAACATTGCAGATCACCTCTTGTTGTAAATATCTAAACTCTTAACTGTAGTTAAGCGTTTGGTGGAAATGGGCTGTAACATACAGTCTTTTACATAATTTATTTTACATAACTTAAAACCAAAACATGAAACCAGCAAATGTATCGTTAAACGGTAGATAAAATTTACGTTTACTATTTTATAAGTGGGTCACATTCGTACATAATCGCAAACTTTTAATTAGTCCCGTGAAATTATTTTCTTTCACCATTGGTTCCGGCAGGTAAAAATGATCCAAAATCCAGATTTGTGGGACTGTAGGGGCTGTGATCGAGCTGCCATATATACTAAAAGTTCTGAGTTGTCGAGGCAAATTGTTACATTAAAGAGCCCTTTAAATTTTTGGCTATCTTAAGGTGTAGATACATACATATGTAAGTACATAAGCAAATTTGTTTGTTTTGTGCAATTGTCAGAAGGTTCAAAGTTATTAATTTTTATATGTAATAAGTTAGTATTAAAAACTTAAAAGAAAAGACTTACGTTAAAAAAATTACCAAATTGAGAAAAAAATTACCAAATTACCAAACTCCTCCTAAAAAGAAAAAATTACCAGTTTTGCTAAAAAATTACCAAAGCGGCAATGCTGGTAGCGTCACGTGACAATTTCCATCGTTATATTTTTGTTAATATTGCTTTTAAATGAATTTTGCGTTAAAACATGTATTTTATGTAGAATATACTTTATATTTTGACTTCAGCGCCAATTCAGGGTGAATTTGTTGGAAATCTATGACTTATTATGTTTCAACTACATGCGCCAAATTCGAACCAAATCGGACCATAAATACGGTTTTTCGAAATATCTCAACCTTGGCGCCACCTAGGAAGACCATTTTACGCAAACATGATTCTACTTACATAGCCAGTATATATTTTAAAAAGCAGACAAATCGGCCCGTAAATACGTTAGATATAAGATTTTTATTTTTTTTTTTTGTCGTGGTGGACCTTCCGATGGAAACACCCATATATCAACGGTGGGTGAGTTTATTCCTTTTTATCAAGAAAATATGCCAATTCAGTTTTTATAACGATTTTTTTTTATATTGCACCCAAAGTGCATTACAATTGTGTATTAATAACATTATATTATTTAAAGTTTTAAATTATAATTTGTTTCTTAATTTCGTTTTTATTAATGCTAAATCAAAAAATTTGCGCTCAGTTGCTGAGAAGCTGTGATAAAGAATAAAAATATTATGAACTAAATCACACAATTCTCCAAAGGCCGCTTACGCTTCCGTCAGATCCTTGCTGTCTATCGAGTGTAATGCAAGCTACATTCCTGCAGCCATCGTTGCCAGAATTTGTTAGCGAACCCTCGAGTTTTGTGCCACTGTTGTCGTAAATTAAGGTTTTCGTTGAAAACTGGTTTATAACCATCGGTGGATCCTAAGAGCAGGTGGTTCGGAATCAGCGCATCGTCATCGGCGTTGTCGAGAGATACGAACGTGAGTGGTCGAGAATTGACTATAATTTCAACTTCACATAAGGCACCTTTTAGTGTTTCATCAGTGAATTTGAAGGAAGGGCAGATAGCATTCAGAACGGATTTAACCGAACGGACCAATCTCTCCCAGGCTCCACCCATATGTGGAGCCCCTGGTGGGTTGAATCGCCAAACGACATCTTCGCAACTCGTCCTACATTTTTCGAAGCTATTAGAGTCTACACCAGTGTTGCCATTTTAACCGTTTTCCGGCTAGATTTAGCCGGTTGCGATAGCAAATAGCCGGAGAAATTTCGATTTAGCCGGCAGCCGATTTGCAGAAAAAAATTAGCCGATTTTGCTATTTGCCCTATTTTCTTAAATTTCAAATATGTATATATGTTTCCATTTTTGACTAAGCGACCCAAAATCTGTTAGAAATGGCTACTAGCCTAATCGTGGAGAAAATTTTCATGTCAGGCAGGATTTTATGAAATTGGGCCGATTTCGCTTATTTTTATTTTAAACGAAGAAGGGATTTTCTTCATAAAATGTTTGCTATAAATGTCTTAATTTTAAGTGTGATGTTTTATTCGCAAACTTAGAAAATAAGAAATTTTTTCACTGTTAAGACACTTAAGATGCGTTTGTGTTTGGATATAGTGCCAACAAACAGAATAAATATTACATGTAGATATTGTCTTCCCAGATAGCGCATATTCAATTCTGCCTAAATTACAAAACATCATTTTTGCCCACTTCCAAAGGTTTAAGGTAAAGGAAAAATTGATATTTTCAAGCACTATATACACATATGTATTTTTTTAAACAAACTCTTTTGCTGAGAACTTATTTAAATTCCAAAAACCAAATGCCAACTTTAATTACAGGAACCAACACTGAAGTGAGTCAAAATGAAAATAAAAGAGCACAAATTTCTATGTAAAGCAAAACTCTCTGGGAATCCTACGAGACATCTGCCGGTCATATGACCGGTCATCTAAATGGGAGATCTGTAGTATTTTGGTATCATATTTTACATCAGAATTGAAGGGATTTCTGAAAAATCTGACCAGTTCTTTTGTGTAACTGTGATTTTGCCTCCCTTGTGAACATATGGCCTCGGTTGATGTTAAGGTCGTTGTTTTACTGCCTTAAAATTCAAGGGAAATTTTGACAGCGTTTTTTATGTGTATTGGTTTCTATTTGAGTGTATTGAGAATCGGTCAGTCTGAAAAGGCCTTGTAGGGAAGATAATAGGTTTGTTCGTCGAAAATCCAGCGAGAATTATCACTCAAAATATCAGATAGTAAGAAAAAATGCTCCCAAATTCTCTCTCATGTAGAGCAACTCGCAATTTTCTGTACGAACGCAAATTTGCAAGTT